CTAGAACCGGCATCCTTGACGACGATTTGGCGTTGTTTAGTGAGAGGATGTCTGGATTGGTGGTTGACAACCATGACGGTGATATACTTTGATAAATTGTAACTGTGACATTTAATATACTGTGGAATATTGTCAAATGCCACCGTTTCGATTAGTGGGGGAAATCAGTAGTAAACTACTCACATTTCGCACTTGCTAAAAGTCTCTATTAGAGACTTAGTAAAATGACAACCAAATTCTTCGGATTACTTTGAACCATATTTTCAAAAATATTAATCGGGCAAACATTAACGTATAAACCTACTATTGATAGTATCCACACTGCATATAGCTTGAGCTTTGTCACGCCGAATTCGTCACTTTCGCCGCAGCGTCCTTCAGGACCTCCCCCACTTTCGCCGCAGCGCCCTTCAAGGCCTCCCCCACTTTTTCCCCGGCTGGTTTCGATTCCCCCTCGAGCGGCGGCTGTTCTTGTGGCTTGCATATTTTCTCTTGAGTTTGCTCCCCCCCAATGGTTTTCTGTACTTTGGCCTTGGCAAAGGGCGTCATCTTCCATTCTTCGTCGAACTCGTCCTTCGTTGTGCCTTCGGAACAAATCGTGTCCTGCTTTCCCTCATCGTCCTTGCCTGCCTTTTGCCACGTCGTCACCACTTTCTTCCCAGGCAACCGGCGTTCGTGTGTCGCCTTCAACCGCCCGCTGGCATCTTCGTAGCGGCGTCGGATGCTCTGCACGATGCAGCCCTTGTCATCCGCCACGGACGAGCTAGAGTACGAGTAGCTGAACGATTGAGCTTTGTCATCAGCGTTGGTCGACACATCCTTGGTCTCCGGGGAGCCTTGAGCCACAACCGGTAAATCGCGGAAAAAATCGTCTGGCTCGTCGGAAGTCGATGGCGGGATGGCCTCCATGATGCAATAAGTTTGCACGGGCATGTCCACATTTGACAGGGCGTTCAAGTCCATCAACGATTGCTCAAGGCTAGTCAAGGGGTACCAATAGGACGGGTGCACAACGTCCCACATCGTCAGCGGCTGGTAGGCATTCAACATGTTGGTCATGGGCAAGGATTTGCAATGCTTCAGATCGATAGGGCGTCCGAGTGGGACGCGACATTGGACTTGTTGGAATAGCCCGTTTCAACGACTCGATGATTTTCGAGAAGCCCAACGACCTGTTCTCCTTCGCGTTTTTACAACACTTGCAACGTCTGCATCGGTGAACCTCGTGTTGGGTGCCATGTTCTCACTTTCGCATTTGCCGTCTCGACAACATCATGTTTCGCTACTACCAACCAATGTCAACCTGGGACGTTGTGCGCCCTTCCTATTGGTATCCCATGGCGAGCCTCGAGCAGTCCTTGATGGAACTGGACGCGATGGCCGACGAAATGCGGATGGCGTTCCCTTTGCGCTCCTACCGCCTCTTGTCCGCCCCGTCGCTGACTGAAGACGACGACTTTTTCCGCGACCTGCCCGTGGCGACCCGCGATACACAACCGTCCAAGGAAGTGTCTGGCGGAGACGAAGAATCCCGCGCGTTCTCCAACTACTCGTACTCGAGCTCGTCGGTGGTGGACGACAAGGGGCGCCGCGTGCAGAGCATCCGCCGACGCTACGAAGATGCGAACGGGCGGTTGAAGGCGGTCCACGAACGCTTGCTCCCTGGCAAGAAGATGGTGACGACGTGGCGCAAGCAAAACAAGGACGACGAGGGCAGCCAGGAGACCATTTGCTCGCAAGGCGTGTCGAAGGAAGAGTTTGAAGAGGAGTGGAAGAGCACTCCGTTTGCCAAGGCCCAAGAGTCGGCAAAGCCATTGGAAGGGGAGAAGCCCAAGGCCTTGCAAGGCGAGCAGTCGAAGGCCTCGGAAGGCGAGCAATCGAAGCAACAAGTGGCGGCTTAGTCGACTGCTGCTGGTGTGCAATAGTCTGACCCTGTATACGTGAATGTAGGATGAGATAACGATCAGAGGATCCAAGCTCGATATATTTGGTTGTTTTATTGATGCACGCGATTTCGTTAAAAGGAGTAGGAGGCCTGATTGTGATGTCTCTACCGTAAAGGTCTCTTGATTTGACCTAGGTATCGCTTGGTGGTGCCAAGGATGTCCGCAACATGATCACTTTGCGATCAGTGATACTTTTTGGCAAGGTTTTGGTTTACTCCGGCGTAGTTGAAGATA